CTGCAAGGGTTTTCTAACCCATGATCCGTCTACCACTAAGACTGAGAATATTTTACGTCATCAACGTGGTTGGTGCGAGCCGGGTGCGAAATTCGTATTGACCACTCATCACTGGGATTCGAACCCAGTTAACCTCCTTGGAGAGCGAACGCTCTAATAATTGGAAGGCGTCAGCACTGTGGTAGGTGTGAGCTGGATTCGTATCAACCAATTATCACTGGGATGGATCAAGTATTGGGAGAAATTTGCATTCGTGCAGGACATTTTTTTTATGGAACTAACTCGCATTTGCGTTACATGGGGTGGGAATCCATGAAAACAAACCACGATTGACCAAACTCCAAGAGAACTCTAACCCATGATCTGTCTACTAAAAAGGATATTTCATGTTAGCACTGTAGGTAGAGCTAACTGGGAAATTCATTTCAGTCATCACTGGGGTTCAAACCCGGATCACCTCATTGTGAGGCGAGCGCAGTATCTTCTGAGTCATCTCGACTCAGTAGATGAGTTCTATCAAAAATAAGGGAAAAAACATAGGTTCAGGCATATTATGTCAATTACACTCTTTAAAAAAATGTAAATAATTTAACTTTTGAGTTCTCTTATAAAATGAATGACCTGAATATTTCGAATTATCTTCCTTTCAAAAATAATTTTCTTAATTTTTTCCCATCAAGATAGTTTTGATTACATCATTCTGAAAAATATTGAATTCTTCAAATTTTTTTCAGTAAGTGAATTATTATTATTATTTCATTTTGGTTTTAGATACGATTCTCAGTTAGGAAACTTACGAAACATTATCATCACACATGTTTTAGTATTTTTAACAGATAATGTTTAAAGGTTTTAAAACCAAGAAATATCATAATCGCGAAGACTTCAGCTTGCAAGCTCATAAAGCATCAATTTGAATCAATCTTCATCGAAATGGAATTTGCTTCATTGTTTCCTTGAAATTGGATTTTTGAAAACAATGTCTGTCAGAGAAAAGCTGGATTCATCCAATTTTTCATAAAAAATTAACCACTTCCATCGCTTTGTTTTGCCTTTGTTTTGCAGGCAGAAAATATCCAAATGTTTAAAAGTTTTGTAATGCACAATACAAAACACAAGTTCAGAATCAATGCAAAAAAAAAAACATACGTTTTTACTCATGTTTAAGGGTCTTTCATCAATTTCAATATTTTGTTTTGTTTTTTTCTTATTTGGAACGGTTGAATCTTTAGAAAAAATGCGAGCATCTTCTTCAGTCCTATTCTTGCAAGTTAAGAAGTCTTTCATTAATTTTAATAATTTGTTCTATTTTTATCCTTTCTTTCTTCTTGGGAACTGATTGAGCCTTGTGAAAAAATACGAGCATCTTCAGTCCTATTTTTGCAAGTTCAAGAGTCTTTCATTAATTTTAATGTCTTGTTCTTTTTATGTGTTTTTTTTCATTGGAACTAGTTGAGTCCTGAAAAAAAATGCGAGCATCTTCATGACTGCGTGAGTCAGCATCGCATACTAATCGTTTTGACACTATGACAGTAATGAAGTGATAGACAAACTAATCCAAATTTTTTTATGAATCAAGGGGCAACATTCTTTAACAAAACATTTATATGTAAACTAAGGTATGAAAATTCCATACTATTGTTTGCGAACTCTAAAGTGTTTATTGCTTACTTTATTCTCTACAAGAAACCAGAAAATATTTGTGAAGAGTGGCCATTACAGAACACCCAGCATCAACGAAAGTGTTAAAATGCTCTACACTGTTTAACATTTCTCAACTTGCCCCCACCAAATAAAATAATATTGCTAACCATCCGATTTTAACTTCCGATTTATATAAGTCACATTAATACAATATTTAGTTCAACTTAAATCTTGATTTAACGAAAAATCATTTGAAAGATGATAAATATTTTCCTTTATATTGGATGCCGACGTATTCGTTATATACACATCTTAGTAATATTTTTAGAGTCGGCATAAGATGTTTTATCTATTTCGGATTATAGTGGTAGGACCTCAGGGAAACGGTAATAGCAAAATAGAATTCGGATATTTTTTATTAAGTGACCTAGTTGCCCCAAGTAATGTTAGAATAACCTCTAACGTCAAGATAGCTCAATAATTGCTCTCCAGAGTAAGTCTTATCCTTTTTGCTTTGAGTAGTCATAACTAGTAAACTTTGGTGTTCTTTCTAATAACTTATAAACTTTGCTTATTATCCCAAAAGTAATAAAAACTTGTTCGTTCTATATTACTCAAATGTTTTAAAGAATTTGTTTCTGTCAAAGTTAATTATTATTTTCATGATTTATTTCTGACTCTAACAACTCTATGATTTTTAAAGATTCTACGATAGCTAGTAATTAAAACCAGAGTTCAATAAAAAAATTAACTAAGCTGAAAGCGAGTGAAGGTACATTTAATTTTTTGATTAATTTATATGAACACAAATTTGGTTTATAGAGACTACACGTTGCAATAAAGAATAAATCAAAAGTAATCAGTGCTTTCAACAATAATAAAATGTTCTAGAAAATTATTTCTGACAGAGTTATTTATTTTCAAGATTTATTTTTGAATCTAGCAGTCGTATGATTTTTGAAGATTCCGCGATAGTTGGCAATGAAAACCAAAGTTTAATATGAAATTAATTGAAAGCGAATGAATACATTATATTTCACTGTATATGTATTAATTAGCATGAGCATAAATTTAAATAACAGGAGCTAACAGTTGTAATAGAGAATAAATCAAAAATAATAAAACAAGCACTTTCAATATTACTCAAATGTTTTAACGAAATTATTCCCGTTAAATTTATTTCTTTTTTTACGATTTATTTTTGAATCGAACAATGGTATGATTTTTAAAGTTTCTATGAAAGCTGCAATTAAAACCAAAGTTTAATGAAAATCGCTAAACTGAAAGCGAATGAATGTATTATATTTCACTGTATGATATGTATTAAAAGTAAGAAGACAAATTCGAATTACAGGGACTATGCGTTGTAGCTAAGAATAAAGTAAAAGTAAATTAATAAAATATTAGTCAAAAATCAAACCCAAAATCTTTTCAAAGGTAGCAAAATATTACTCAAATGTCTTAAACTATTTTTGACAAAATTAATTATTATTTGTATGATTCATTTTTGAAACCGATAATTGTATGATTTTTAAAGATTTTATAAAAATTTTGGCAATTAAAAAAAGTTTAATAAAAAATAAAAGCAAATAATTTAATTATATTTCGTTGTTTGATACTCAGTTATTTGTATTAGCTCCAATTTGGCACACACAAGTTATGGAAGATTTAAAATTCTAAAGCATCAGCATGAATTTCGTTTTTCGATCTAGAAAACGTTAGTTTTTTGTAAATAACGCTATTTTTAAGAAATCTTTTATAAAATAAAGGATTTCTTAAACGATTTACAGAGTAAATTCAATGGACTCTCTGAAATTTTTCACTAGAAGACTGTTTGACGCTTTTTTGATAGCTGACATTAAAAACTTCACTTCATCAATTATAGAGACTGACTAAGCATAATTAAAATTGTTTAAGCCATTTTCTCCTGAATATTTAAAGTAATCTTTAAATATACTGATGATTTATATTTTTAAATTATTTAGCTTTGCTGAAACTGCGCAAGAAAAGTCATTACGTTAAAAATATGTTCCATTAAGTAATACAATGTGGAAAGCTGCAACATTATTCCAAGCAGGTTCTGTGCCAAAATTCCTTCTTATTTTTAAAATTAAATATCGAAGGATATACGAGTATGTATTTGATATTCAGGAATATTTGATAACTGATTATTCTAAAAAGCTATTTTCAGTTAAAACGTTCTATTTATACTTGGAGAATATCTTTCAAATATCTAATATAATCTGATGATTTTATCTCAAATAGAATGAATTATTCAAGAGAAAATGATATACCATTTCCGTGTAATAAATTGAAAGTGGATAATGTTATACGTTAAAATTAATGTAATGGATCTCGTTAGAAATACATAGACGCGTTTTTTATTGTTTTAGAAATTTTGAATAGAAAAACTGAACGTGTATGAAACAGGTCTTTATGTATTGAAATCCATTTAAAAATGTAAGTTTTATTTACTTAAAGTTATATAAGATAAAAATCAATTTAGAGTGATTCCCATAACGTTAAAAGTATCGGTGACGTCATGATAAATAAGAACGGACAAGTAAATTAAGAGGTTTTACTTTGATGCTAGAGCGTGAAAAATGGAGGTCCATTTAACTAAATGATAATATTTTCTACCCAACTGTGTACAGTGCCTCGTTGCTGTAAAAAGCATAAATACTCGTTTACGTGATAGAAGAAGAGATCGTAGAGTAATTTTGTATATTTCTATTATTGGTTTTACTTAATATAAACTTACACAATATTATCTTGATTCAAAATTAAATTATTAAAATTAATCTAATTATTAATTAAATTAATCTTAAAATTAATCCTATTAACCTTTTATTAAAATTAAATAAACAGTTCTGAACTTCTAAACTATAAATGAAATGAGAGCATTGATAGAAAATACGCAGAAATAGAAAACATACGACAATAACTTATGGATTATAGAGAATCTACTTTTCAAATTCATGTTGTGAATTTGAATAGTAGACCTTTGGCCTTTTCTATTTAAAATTGCAGAGGGCATTAGTGTGAGTAGGGCGAAAAGAAGCTAGAAAGAGCATTGTGATAATGTCACGATTTACCCCCTTCTTTCATAAATATTTGATAAGTTATTGGGCATTTTTAATGCTAAAATAAATTACAATTCAAGTACTTCAACTTCTTTGTATTTTTGTTGAATATAACATTTTTGTTATACACAGCATTTCTTTTTAAGCTAGTAGATAAATAGGAATAACTGTAATTTTTTTCAGTTATATGTCACTTGTGAAATTTCTTACAAATATTATTCAAATGATTTTTGATAAAATCATCAATTATCTATTCTCTGTTTATAGAAAAAGATGTAGAAAAAGAAATAAAAGGAGATAAAACTGAAATAATTATAAGATGGAAACACTCAAGTGCTTATTATTCGAATCAACAGCTTCAACATTACGTTTTCGTTTAAAGTTGCTTAACCAAAATGGGGGCAAAATCGTGACATTATAGTTGAGCGTTTCTGATACTAGTTCATGCTTGACAAAATTGTAAAAGCTGGAATATCATAATATTGCGCTAATGAACATTGGAAACAAAATATAATAAACATTGGAAACATACACAAATAAGCATTGGAAGCAAAATATTATCACAGAAGGAAGCTATATTTAAAGTTTTTAGATAGTGAGCTACTACAACTTTAGCTAGCTTTATATGATGATTTTGATATGACTATACTCTTCGTAATTATGATTGGCGTCCCAAGGTCACATTTTCTGCCTTCGTCGCCTTGGTAACTATGTGACAGGCAGCAACACTGCTCTTCTTATTCACACGGCAGTTAAGGAGTATCCATAACTTAAAACTGCATATTATTATGATATTTTTATAAAAATAACGTACCGGCGAAAGGGTAAAGCGAGATTTGTGGATACTATGGTAACTGAGAAGGGAAATTGCGCAACCTTGAAATGCATATTCCATTTACAAAGAATATAGGACACGATAGTCAAATATTTATATTCCAATTTTCATATCTTTGTTTTGCAGGGCAATGTTACTCCATGATGCATCGGAAAAACGAGCTAATTTTGTCCACTTCTTATCAAGTAAAAAAGTCCCGAAAGCTCAAGGTGAAAATGCATAACGAAAGTACAAAACATTAAAATGAATGAGACAATTGAGCTTTCAACCGTGAGACCAATGCATTTGGGAAATTTCTTTTTTTTTCTTTTTTTTAAATAAATAATTAAAAGCATACATTGCAAATATTGTAATTCTATCTGAGAAACATAGAGAAATGGAATGAGATTCGTTTCGTAAAAAACTGGATGAAAAGTCCGTCAGTTATCTAACCAACGTTGTTTTCTAAAGCTCCACCTTCAAGTGAACGATTTGGTGAATTCCGCTTGAAGAAGATATCTTAAGATATTTTCAAACAACGTAACATCAACATTTGTGACTGTACTTGAGAAACATAGAGAAATTGAACGTGATTATTTTTACTAAAAAACTGGAGGAAAAGTCAGCCAGTTGTCTGACCAACGTTGTTCTTGAACTCTACCTCCGAAGAAACAATCAGGCGAATTCCTTTTGAAAATGTTTCAAAGCTGCACGCTATATGGGTATGTTTTTCGTTATTTTTTAATCAACCATTAAATAAAATTTTAAATCAAGAATTCAACATTTTAATTGTTGCCTATTATAAATATTATTTATAAAAATTATAAATAAGGATGAAGGAATTCTTACATTTGTTTCAACGTTTGCTTTTGCTCTGTCATAGGATGAGTCGAGTTTAAAGGCAGTTTGCAAGCGAATGCATTTGTTAGGCAAAGGTACTACGATTAGTAGCTTCGCCCATCTGTTTTTTTTAAAGTTCTTAATGAAAAGAAACAATGAAGCGAACATCACAACTCAAGTCTTTCCGACAAACCTAGAAATTAATTTCCTTTCCTTAACTAATCGACGTGAATAATTTTAAAGTCAAGCAAAGTGACCTAAATTAACTGTATCATAAATTCTGGACTAAATGAGAAAGAATCAAACGTCAAATAGTTTAAAAGTAAACAGTTTAAAAATTTAAAAGCTAAAAAATAAATTTACAAAAACTCAAATAGTTTTACAAATGAATTTATTTTAGATAAATTCCTTAAATTTCTTGATTCAGTTAAAATTGACTTATAAAGGTGTTTGGGTACCTCAAATGGAAATATTGATCTTTAACAGTACAATTAATTATACTAATAATTGAAAAATGATGTTAGCAGAATTTATAAATAAATAAAACAAAATATTTAATAGATACTTCATGATTTGGGTGTCCTTATATTAACTTCTCCAGCAAGCCTTATAATTTTTGGAACTTTACACTTATTTTTATTCCTAATAACATCTTTTTCCAGTAATAATTCTCAGGAATAAATTTTAGCATCTTACAAAGCCGATGAGGGCAGGCGGCGATAACTAAATGCCATTTTGTGTCCATTAGGTGTACCATGTATGACGAAAAATATGCGTTAGCTATTTATTCGAATACTGCAATATACGAACATCATTTGCCATATATATGGGTGCATTAATCACTGAGAAAACTCGTTCTGAATGTCATACCTTTATACCTTCAGACATTAAATGTAAGAAATGAAAAGCTAAGAGGTACAAAAATAATTCTTATAAATGTAACTGTTTGAAAAAAAAGGGAAGTGAAACTATTCCCAAGAAAGACTGAACAAATAATGATACTTCAGTTATAGGAATTTATGTGCTCTGGCTGAATGCCGTATCGTTATTTCAAAAGGAATAAAATTCGAAGATTGTCATCTTTCTTTCTTTGGCTATAGAATATGTCATACAGCTTCGAAGCATTAATATAGTTGAAATATGTCCCTTACATAGTTATATACCAGCATAAGAAGCTATTTCTTATATTTGATTTTGTGAGACATACGTAATGGAATAAAGTAATTTAAATAATAGTTTATGACGTAGCAATATATTGCTATTATCTGATTTTATTAGCGTAACATAATAAAATTAGTTATATGTATTCAATATAAAATTACTTTTAACGACAGAAAGGAGAAGCACTAACAAATATGGTCTGCAACAAATTTAAAAAAAGTTCTCAAAGTTCTATATGTAAAGCTATATTATTTGCGTAATCTGTAATATGCAAGTAAAATTTTATTTTTATTTATTTATTAATTTTTATTCAATCGATGGTTATGCATATGCGTTCAAATATATAAAATCCCCAATGAAAGTTTCTTATGTAATTTGTGATACATTTTTTTACATTGTGTTTAACAAAAAATGTAGAATTGAAAAGTATTGAATACAATATGCAATTTTTTTTAAAATTAAGATTGCATGTAATCATGATTACTTGAAATCAAAATTAAAATTGTAATCAAGATTTAATTCAATCATTATTATATAAAATTGCAGATTCTTATTATTTGTAGCCTTAGTTCAATTTTAGTTGCAAGGCCTTCTTTAAATACTCGTAGAATATAATTTGAGACAGGGCCTTTCAAGTTTAACGATTTTCATGTTTTTTATTTCTTTTCTGATTTGTGGTGACTTCTGTTTGGTTACATAAATAAGCTAGATGAGTGCTAATCTTTTTACGAAAATGAAATAGGTGAATATAGGTGAAAATAAAATGAATACGCTAATTCAACTTTTTCTTACTCAATAAGTGAAGTTTGTACGCAGTACAAAGTTTACACACGGTTACAATTGCAATAGTAAATTACGATTACTTAAGGCTTTTGATATTTTAATCTTTATTTATGATTATTTGTAATATGATTAAAATTAATCGATTAAATTTTTTATGACCTGGTTTTGCTTCATCCTGTATTTACGAAACGAATATTTTATACGTTATAAGCTGAACACTCGTACGGGAGGAAAAATTGTGAATAAATAAATCTATATTGATTAACATAATACAAATATACAGAAATTTGTAAAACATCATAAAATGAGCTAATTAAAAAAATTATTTAAATTTTTTTTTTTTTGGTTTCTTACTGATTTTACTTTAAAAGTTTTAGAACTCGGCATGATAAAAATAAATATGCCTCAGTAATATTTGTCCTAAAAAATAAAGCTATAGATCGTGGCCTACACATGATAGTCAAGATTTACCACAATAAATATTTTGATGAATTTGTACTGTAGTACATATTTTTTGTCCTCATTAATATTGACTTTTCGTTATTTTTATAGAAACAAGTGGCAAAAGTGTAACCAAGAATAAACAAAATAAACACGTGGTCTGAAAGTTTTTTGTAATTTCTGATTTGGTGATTTTGTCGTCGATTTTGTTTTGGCTCAACTGACATTATCGTCCAAAGATAATTGTACTATTGTGCTTAATCTGTGCAGAAAGTTCCCCATGAAATTTGTTTTTATTTAAGTAGATTTGTAAGCTAGCAAACGTTCCTGAACGTTTTATTTTTGAAATAACTGAAAAAGATAAATCATTTACAATTTTATTTATAAAAGCAACAAATGCTAAATCTATGAGAAAAAATCATTTTTCAAACATCACTGACCAGTGAACTAGTTGAAACTTGTGAAAAATTTTTAGTATTCGAGGCTAAAATTGTCCTTTGCTTATCTATTTCTTAAAATTCAGGATACTATTACAAATAAATAAGAAGTCATAAAAGAGGCACGCAGATAAACAAATGCGCAGCAGTCGTGGTTGCTAAGGGGATTGAACATTTGCTTCAAAATGAGGTGACCCAGGTTCGAATCCCAGTAATGCAAAGATGCCAACTTGCTCCGGACAGTAAAAATATTATTTTAAAGTGGTATTTTATCAATTGTGATTCTTAGTTTAATAAATTCAATTTAGCAGATTTTTATCCACTACTATTTCGAAATAATTCCTAGAATTATATAATTCACCACTTTATAATACTATGCCTCTTAAAAAGCTAGCAACAATAGTCAAATATTTGCGAAATTTATTTTGTAGTTAGTTACCGTTTTTTTAATTATTTTTGCGTGTCCGGAGCAGTTGGCATCTCTGGCAATGGCTGATTGATTAGAATTCTGCTCCCGGTTTGCAGCGACCACAATGCTGACGTAAAAATATCCTTAGTAGTAGACGGAACACGGCTTAGAATCAACTGGCCGTCGAGATAGCGGTGAAAGTTTTTTACAGTTTTCCTCTCCATGTAGCGGGTAGTTCCGGCAAAAAGTCCTCCATTAAGGCTAGTTAGTCCCAATGCTTAATCCAAAGACTTCCAAGAGTTTTGGGTTCGGTTCAAATTACAATACCACGCGCCTGACTGCAAAGCCAATGGCCACGGGTTCGAATCCCGCTCTGGGCATGGACGTTTCTCTCTCTTGTGTTGTCCTCTGTTGTGTGTGATGTGTGAATGTGGCCCACCCTATGAACGGGTTTGTGGCAGTGTGGCGTGGGCGATGTTACTCGCCTCTCCGTGACTTTGGGTCACAGGTGCCCACTTAGCAACGCGAAATGAGTAACACGCCTGGCATGTTCTTGGGCGAAACGAATAAAGTTCAGTGCCTGTCATTCGAAAAAAAAAAACAATGCCACGGAATTGGACATTGATACTCATAAACTTAGAATCGGGTTGGCTGTTCCTGGCCGGTTATAAAATAAAATTTAAAAAAAAAAAACGAATGCGTGGTTAGAATTTCACACAATTTCTTATTTTTTTATTATAGTTAGGAGATTAGGAACCAATTACAGATTGAATAAAATATCCAACGTACAAAAATACAGACATTTTATTGATATCTAGTAAACATTGCTTAGTTAAGAAAATTCACAAATTATTATACTGCGGCTGAGAGAAAACTACAGGTAGATGATTAACGCAACTTCTCGAGAAGAATGGATTATACAGAAAGCATTTGGGCCACCGAATAATTCCTTTCATTCTTCCATTTATAACTTTCACAATAACAATGCTGATTCTCTTCGTCGGAAAGAATTTAGAGTTGAAAGTAAAGAAAAGCAATTTATATCCCAAGCAGTTGGTTGGATTCTTGATTTATAATGGTTTACGAGAAAACAAGTTTTGGCTAAGAGTGTTTTCAGAATCTTTAATGTAGACAGCAGTTTACGATTGCGACAAATATGTCGTAAAAGCTTGCAAGCAAGTGTTCCTTCGAAATTATTTTACCTACGTGACTTAAGTAGAGTTAAAACTTTTCGTAAAATAAAGTATTGGGTTTTATATCTAACAAGGTAGTAAAATTTAGTTCATTATTAAATAGAAAAATCGTTAATTTTTGATAAAATATTCGAGAGTTGCAAGATAAAATGTTATAGGAAGGCTTAAGTTTTATGGATAAATAGAAACTTTTAAGATCATTAATTCTTATTATATTGGGAACAATACATATTGTACAGGGAATTTCTTTCATATAATAAAGGTTTCTTCACTTTATCAAAAGCTGAGCAAGAAATTAAAGTAACAAAGAAATGTTATGAGAAATATTCGTTTATTTGTTAATACTATAATTTTTTGTGAACGAACTGTGCCGTACACTAGTGCTATAGTGCTATGTTACTAGTGCTATAGTGCAAAAATTAGCGCTATGTACAACACCATGTTGTAGCTTTGACTAC